CTTTTGTGGCTCTTTCTGGTCTCTCTGTGGTCTCTTTCTGTGGTCGCTCTCTGATTTCTCTTTCTGGTCTCTCTCTGGTCCCTCTCTCTGGTTACTCTCACTGGTCTCTCTCTGGTACAGATATACATTTATTGTGCAATGTCCCTGTCAGCTGAATAGAAATAGATATGATAAAGCTTCACAGAATCCAACCAGTGATTTGTAAACGTCTCATTCGTATCACTTCTTTCGCCGGCTGGTGAGTGGTTGACAAGAACAGAGTATTCAACTTGGCTGCCAACATGTTTACCATCTAAAAATATTCATATGAGACCCAGATATGTCAAAAACACAGTTGTAACATAGCAAATACAGCGTTTTGCATATCACTTTATAGTGTTGCTTGCTGGTTACGTTTGAAAAACCAAAAAATATGTCAAATTAATTCCACAATCCAATATCTGCACATATAACAACCCCCAATATGACTAATAGGACAGAGTATCAGAGATAGAGCCAAGGACATATTGCTCACCATAGACACTGCCAGTTATTTCTTTCATTTTTATCTTGATGCTGTTTTTAAAATGATTTATTATTATTATAATAAAAAATTATAAAAACACACATTCATTCAACCCTCACCTATTGGTCTCTCCCTCTCTGGTCTATCTGGTCTCTCTCTGGTGTTTCCCTGGTCTCTCTGATCTCTTTCTCTCTGTGGTTTCTCACTCTGGTCTTTCTGGTCTCTCTCTCTGGTCTCTCTCTGGTATCTCTCTGGTTTCTCACAGACGTATATAGATATATGCATATGGACAATGCTAAACCTCAAGCTCAATGAAGCCCAACCGGGAACTGCTCATGGATGAAGTTTAGCTCCAACTCTATCTGGCTTCTATTGACTTCTCTAGCTCAGTAACTGTTTGTGTCACATTCACTTTTTTGGGCACCCTAAAGCCCAGTTAAAGTGGGCCTGAGCCCACTTCACGATTAGATCCGGCTTTAGGTGCTATGTGACCGCGGCAATTGGGCTTGGGCACGGTTGGGAGAGGTGGGCCTGAGCACGGTTGTAAAGCCCAGATGAGGGGGGTCAATGTGGTAGGTGGTGGGGAGTGGGGGATGAGATGTGGTGGGGACTCGATCTTGCGACGCGCATTTTCACACACGTCTCTCCCTGCACTTGTGGTAAATCTTTCATATAAGCCCCCGGACCGTGGTCAAGGGGCGCAGGGGGGTGTGTCACTTCAGAGCCAAAGGGAATCGTTTCCTACGGGGAATGACTCCCTTCTGTTCTGACCCTCGCTTTCACAGTGTGGCACTATTGCAATAATACTTCAGACATCCAAGAATCAGTCTTTATTTAATCGTCAGAACACACCAACACTAACTTGTATCCTGCCGTTCTCTGGTCATGTAATGTTTATAATAATTATAATGCATCAATTTTATATATCGCTTTTTTGGACACTCAAAGACGCTTTACATGTCATTATTAATTCACTCCATACACGGTGGTGATAAACTACTACTGTAGCCCTGGGGGACACTAACAGAAGCGAGGCAACCAGTATGTGCCATCGGCCCCTCCGACCACCACCAACCATTCACACACACACCAGACTCATTCTAGGCAATGTGGGTGAAGTGTCTTGCCTAAGGACACAACGGCAGTTTGCCACTTTACAGCTGCAGTTGCCCCAGAGGTTAAGTGTCTTGCCGAGGACACAACGACAGAAGAGATCAGTGGGAAAAAATCTTGTGGTGGGCTCGAACCCACGACCTTCAGGCTCAAAGATCTACCAACTGAGCTACTGTTGCTACTGTCACCCTATGTTCAAATTAGCTTCTTCTGCCTAACACTAAAATTATTGTAATCACACTGGGTCCACACATACTATACGCTCTAGTGTTATCTATTTGGATAGCACTCTTGCCTCTCAGCAAGAAGGTCCTGGGTGTTAATTCCTGTCGGAACAGTGCCTTTCTGAGTGGAGTTTGCATGTTCTCCCCGTGTCTTCTCCGGTTTCCTCCAGGTGCTCCGGTTTCCCCTACCACTAAAAAACATGTACAATAGGTATGAATGTAAATGAGAGAGTGAATGGATGGTGTTGATTGGGGGCTGATGGTCCAGTGTGTTCGGCGACTCACTTCCCTCATCACCGTGTGTGGAATGATTGGAACAATATCTGAACCCTGAACATTCTAAATAATGCATCGGTTTTATATAGCGCTTTTTTGGACACTCAAAGACGCTTCACATGTGTCATTATTCATTCACTCCATACACGGTGGTGATAAACTACTAATGTAGCCACAGCTGCCCTGGGGCACACTGACAGAAGCGAGGCAACCAGTATGTGCCATCGGCCCCTCCGACCACCACCAACCATTCACACACACACCAGACTCATTCTAGGCAATGGGGGTGAAGTGTCTTGCCTAAGGACACAACAGCAGTTTGGCACTTTACAGCCGCAGCCGCCCCACTAAAGCGCTTTGGGTGACCTTGGTCTGTAAAATGCGCTATATAAATAAACATTACTTACTTACTTACTTACTCTAGGATTATTGCTTCAACTACATTTATTATTTCCGGTTTGAAAACTATTCAGGACAAATAAACAGCCCATCGATGTCCATGTTACACACATTATTGCTGTGATTGGAAATTTATAGCAGCAGCAGCTTCCAAATCTGAAGTTATTACTCTGAAGGGCCAGTCTCCTTTCTGTCAGTACATTCAGTTTGGCTCTGGTTTGCTCTGCTTTCCCAACGCCAACAAGTCATTATGTGAGTGTCCAGGCCGCAGATGCAAAAGCCCAACTGTGCTTCTTTTGAATGTCTCCTCTGCCATAATATTATTACACATTCAAAAACAGGAGAGATGCAGCGAGAGGTCCTGGCTGACAGTATTAGGAGACAAGAGTGTTGCTTTTAGTTCTCGGAGTCTCCCAGCTCCTGAATGTTTAAGCAGTCCTCTCACTGTTCGTGTGCCAAACCAATGCCAGCGCCAACGTTGGCCCCCATCGAGACCAGAACGAGCGGCTTTATCTCAGTTTCAGATACAGACGGCGTTCTCAGCTCTGCCCTCAGCACAAATGAGCGACCGGAACGAAACAGTGTGTTTTACAAGATTGAAAAGGACACACATAATTAGAACAGGCTTTAAAAAACAAATATGCAGCAGTTTGATAAAGCTCTCATTATTTTTAGAGTAATTTTCCTAATTGAATTTACGTTACAATAAATCTAATGTAATGGACAACAGAATGAGTATCCAGATACAAGGGACTTGATATTTTTCTGAACGATAGGATACAATTCAGTAAAGATAAATGCTTTTCACTATTTATTATAAATATTATTGACTAGTGATTATTGATAAGAATATAGATAATAAAAAGTAAATAATAGGGCTGTCAAAATCATTATGTCAATGCGCGATAATTAATTTTTTTCATTAGTCACGTTTAAAAAATGAACACTCAGAAGTGCCACTCACAGGCTCCTCATTTTTAGAAACCCTCCTACTCTCCCCTAGCTCTCCTCCCACGAGCCATGTAGTTTTATTTGCGATCTGATAGGCATTAGTTAGCATTAGCACAACTTCTTTTAAGCTGTACAGCAATCACTGATGAAATGGTACCAAAGCATCGCACTGCAACAAAATATATAACTGAAAGATTACCGCTAGTTTTGCGTCCAAATGTAGTCAGAGGCTTTTCAGAGGATACAATGTAAGCTAGCTATGTTCACCCGGGCTTGATGTTCCCTCTTCTCTTCGTCTTGGGCTGTTTTGTTGTGTCTGCAGTTACAGCCACAGGAGGTATAGCCACTTTCTGCTAATATGCTGCTGTGTTTACCTGGGCTGTAGACACTAGGGAGGCAGCCTGTTCGTAACCGTGCCGCTCCTCGTTGTGCAAGTGGAGGAGAACAAGCGTCACGCAAAGTTTCTACTCAGCACTTTTTATTGCCTGAATTCATACACAAGCTGAATCAATCCGCTCCATTTTTCAAATCATTTACGGGTTTTAATACAACTTGTATGTAGTAATACGTATTTTTATGAGCTCATTTGAAAAAAAATCAGGTATATTTCTTTGCCGAGTCGGTTTCAATGGCCAGTTTTTTGTTACTGAACAAGAAGCCCTCTTTTTGCTTTTTTAAGAGGAAAAAATATTGTTGCAGAAAGACAGAATGTTTATAATTGGAAGAATGGAATAATAATTTTTTCCATTCAAACAACCATTTACAGAAAAACTATGGCATATTTTCGCCGATAGTTCTGTTAGACTGTCTGTGTCTCTTGTTTTTGTTCATATAATGATTTTGAGAAGATTAGATACGGATAGAAGTGGACTAATAAACCACACAGAAACATGCAGATGCAGCACTGTCGTAGTAACCCAAACCCTTTCTCAAACACTGGGGAAACATTTCTAAAACAGTGAATAATCTTTGTTTTTATTAGACAAGAGAGAGACCAAAGACAGACATGAGAGGGATCAGAGAGTCCAGAGAGAGAGAGAGACACCAGAGAAAAAGGCCATAGAGATAGCAAATCTCTGGCTGAGAGGATAGCACTCTCGCCTCTCAGTAAGAAGGTTCTGGATTCGAATCCCGATCGGAACAGGGCCTTTCTGAGTGGAGTTTGCGTGTTCTCTCCGTGTATGCATAGGTTTCCTCCGGGTACTCCGGTTTCCCCTACCACTAAAAAACATGTGCAATAATTCAGGGTGAATGAATGAATGAGTGTGTGTTTGTGAGTGCGAATGTGGGACAACGGATGCAAATTAGCCCATGGCTACAATCCGGAGTGATATGTTCATTAACATGTGCGGTCTCCCAACCAAATAAACAATAAATAAATATATAAAGAGAGACCAGAGAGAGATCAGTGAGAGATCAAAGAGAGACCAGAGAGAGACTACAATAATGGGGCAACCCATCTAAAGCAGTGAATAATCCTGGTAAATAATTGTGCCCAACGAATGATTGTAAAAACATTTATCTTTGAACAGGCTCCTACATGTTTGTGGACGTATCTCAGTACGACGCGGGGGAGAAGGCACGGTTTCAGCTTCCGGTCATGAAGGAGAACGACACTCACTGCATCGACTTCAACTATCTCCTGACCAGTCAAGACGGCTCCAGCCCGGGAACCCTCAACATCCTGGTCAAGGTACCATCCAGCAGCCTCCTTTGACCTGCAAATAGTCACAATCAGTGGGAGGGCAGGCGCAAGTCTATGGAAAATAAAATGTCCCGTTGTTTTCCCAGACCCCAGACAATAGAGAGACCAGAGAGAAGATTAGAGAGAAAGACCAGAGAGAGATCAGAGAGATAGACCAGAGAGAGATAAGAGAGAGAGACCAGAGAAAGTGACCAGATAGAGAGAGACCAGAGAGAGAAACCAGAGTGAGAGACCAGCTTTGTGACTTGCGACATGTGGATTTTCATCCAAAGTATCTTTAAACTAAGACTAGAAGATAAGATAAGATAATATAAGAGATCCTTTATTCGTCCCACAGTGGGGACATTTCGGTGTTGCAGCGCACATACAAGACAGTAGTAGGAGCATACAGAATATACAGTACAAAGTAGTAGCTATGTTTTTTAACTAGCTGTAAATGCAATGCAAAAAAAAAAAATATATATATATATGTTTGTAGTGCAGAGTTTTATACTTTACTTTACTTATTTACAGATGAATGACATTTACAGCAGTTCTCATCGTACAGTCTGACAGCAGCAGGAAGGAAAGACCTGCGGAACCTGTCCTTCACATAGCGAGGGGATCTGACCTTACTTACCTTAGTTACCAATAATGAAAGTTGTAATGTCACATTAACGCAACCTATTAATAGAATGGGTGATGTTAATTGTTTTAATTATCCATTAGAATATGTCATTGTGACAAACATGACGCAATGATGATTTAATTGTCTCACTTTAGGTGAACAAGGGCCCCCTGGCGAACCCAATATGGAATGTGACCTCCTACACGGGTAAGACAAATGCACAGCCGGATGCACCCTCCGCACACACAGACGTTTAACCTGGTGCTGACTGTTTTCTCAGGTAAAGGCTGGCTGAAGGCCGAGCTTGCCGTCTCCACGTTTTGGCCAAATGAATATCAGGTAAATGGACTTTAGTGATGGGTACTGAGGGTGGTGAATGTGAATGTTCTTTTATGGGAATAGAGTTAAACTACATACACAGACACGTGCAGCAAAGAGAGTGGGAGGTTTATCAGTGTTGACGGGAGCTCAGGAGGTGACAATGAGGCTACAAAGACGTGTGGAGGGAATGTGGCTATATCAGACACTAAATATTTTTTTTTGTGGTGAATACGGGTTGTTTTTGGGACAGCTCTGAAGTCAGAATGTGGTTATATATTTGTTTTAGGATTAGAATCATATCATACTGGATATAGATGGACTGTGCTAACCCTCTAGCTCACAGGAGCTCAATAGGGAACGAGTTTTGGCTCCTATTAACTTACAGCACATGTAAAAGTAAACTCCTCTAGTTCTCTAACAGTTTGTGTCATACTCGCCTGCTCATTCCACCTCCGGACCTTTCTGTGTTGAGTTTGCATGTTCTCCCCGTGTCTGCTCCGGTTTCCTCCGGGTGCTCTGGTTTCCCATACCACTGAATATATGGTCTGACAACCCCATCCCACCTCTGTGTGGAGTGAGTGCGCTTTTGTGAGTCTGATCAATTACTTACTTACAAATTACTTACTTACTTACTTATCAAAGCAGGAATGAAAAGGGTTGTACAGTGCAGAATACTGTTGGCACGTTCTTGAAAATGTCTGTTTTGATTTAGTGATAATGCTAATGTGCCTATGTCACTGTGAGGGTGAATAATTGGAATGTGAGAGAAAGTGATGCCGCAGCTTGGATTGCTTTTAGATATTTAATTTGGTTGTTGTTTAAAGTGATTGTCTGGAGTTGTCTGGAGTTTACATGATTTGAAAAAAAATGACCCAAGCTCCATCCCCCTTCCTTTCTGATTGGTCTACGCCTACGTTTCCGTAACAATCAATCAACACCTTTAAATGTTAATTGGAGAACACATTATACATATACATTATTAATACACATGCACAGAGGTTTTCAGAATTATTTGTTAACGTTTTCATTACAAAATAATGTTTTAATGCACAAAAAAGCGATCGCGGTAAACCTGGAAGTAGCTATTAACATTAATTGATCATTATAGGAACATCTGCAGAGGATCTGATTATGGATATAGGTTCAGTATATAAATGATTATGGATATAGGTTCAGTTTATAAATGATTATGGATATAGGTTCAGTATATAAATGATTATGGATATAGGTTCAGTTTATAAATGATTATGGATATAGGTTCAGTATATAAACGATTATGGATATAGGTTCAGTATATAAACGATTATGGATATAGGTTCAGTATATAAACGATTATGGACATAGGTTCGGTATATAAATGGATTCTTTGTTCAGTTTTCATGTAGTTCCAGAGCCTAATGGAGGCTTGATTCGGAGGCTCCGTCAAAACAAACAACTGAGCATGCGCGCCGCTACGAGCATGAGCACCGATGATTGACAGCCCTTGGCATCACTTGATTGGTTAACGTGGACGGCATCGTGGATTTTGAGCTATAGCTAAGAGAAGGGAAGGCAGGACTTACCCGTAATATTAGAATTCATAAAGTGACTTATTTTATATCAACATTTAAGGCCAGGAGGTCAATTTAATGCAATTCTTAAAATGTGTAATTTATTTAGAGTTCCAGACTATCACTTTAATTATAGCTATTGTAGCTGTTGAGGGATGCTTTATATGTAGTGGCTACACATACACGCACACACACACACACACATACACATACAACAGTGCATAGCAGGCTCTAAAGCAGGCTCTAAAGCGGCCTCTAAATCACAGGTGTATGGCGCTTTTCTTGTTTGAACATGTCTCTGTGTTTGCACTTGGGCTGCAGTTTTAATGAGACGAGAGAGGCATCAATGCACACACACGCATGCACACACACACACACACACACACACACACATACGGCCTTACACTGAGTTCAGCCTCAATCATCAAAGACTGTAAAAAACACAATTATTATTTATCATTCTCATATTTCCTGATAATGAATCAGAATCACATAATTAGTTACTTCCTCAAAACAGAAACGGCTGTATTATTTTTGTCTAATAATGTTTGTCATTCTGTACTTCTCACACAACTTCATCACAACTTTGCACCTTGCAAAAGTTTTGTTATTATTAAAGTGATCGCTCTGGATCTCCACGGTCGCCATAGTGACAGATGACTCACTGTAGTAACCCCGGCAGTGAGAATCCCAACGAAACCAAGTATGTCTCTGCATACCAATATTATTGCACATCTAATAACTCACACTGATGCCACAGCAGTTTCTCATGGATTCAAATATATTCAGGACCTATAGCTTTATACATGAATGTGATATTTGCCCTGACTGATGGGGAGACGGCGCCTCTGTCCTCCTCTTAGACAGATTACACATCCACAGTGTTTGCCCAAGAAAAGCACAAACTGTCACGCATCACTTTTATGAGATGAGTGAGAGTCTGTCGCCGCAGTGATCCATCGGCCGTCCAGCTCTGCGTCTCTTTGCATGCAAATGTTACAAGTATAAATGAGATGGCCTGGGAGTAATATCTAGGAGAGCTTTGAATGATGTATTCAGTGTTAATCTACAAACAGTATATCTTTCCTTGGGGTTTGCTCCACAGACAGGGACAGGGTTAGGATCTTTCCCAGGGGTTTGCGCCATAGACAAAGTGCATGGGACAGTTCACAAGGAGAGCATTATGTTATTTTTCTTGTAGTGGACTTTGTCCTCTGCATTTGACCCATCCATCAAAGCCACTTAACAGCCTCATTCAGGACCAGTGGTTTCCGATTTGTAAATGTTTTTAGTGGCAGGGGAACCCAGAGCACCCGAAAGAAACCTTCGCAGACACAGGGAGAAACTGCAAACTCCACTCAGAAGGACCTTGTTCCAACCAAGATTTGAACCCAAGATATTCTTGCTTAGAAGCAAGAGTGCTAACCACTGTTTTGCCCACTGGAATATCCCAAAAAAATAGCTCATACATAGACACAATCAACATCTCTATAAAGGCACGCAGGTTCCTCAGGGAAGCACAGCAATCTGTTCTGTAGTCTCTCTCTGATACTGAGGGCACCTGAACTATTTCCTCCCACTGAGGTCAATCAGTGCTTTAAGGGAGTCTTTGTAATGACTTGTGTAGTTGATCAGGCTTCGAGCAGGGTGGTGCCTTCTGCTCAAGGTTGGTCTACAAAGTTAGATAACATTTTATTGATAAACAAACTTCAAAATAATATATCAACTCAATTTCAAGAGGCACTAAAACCCCAAACACAAACAAGACATGAAGTAAATCACAGTCCAACCTGCTCTAGAAAGTTAGCTCCCCAAACATCTTCAGGAAGAGGGGATTTGGCAGGGCAAGGAGAAGGTATTAAAAGTCAACTGGTGTCTTTGGGTTGTGCAGCAGAGTAAACTCAGCATGAAAAATGACAGAAGGGAGATGGGATGGATTAGTGGGGGGTGATGGGGGGTATCAGGGGTGAGCTGTCGAAGCCAGCGACGGGCGGTAAGCTACGGGTAAACAGTTTCCCCCAGATTTCTTTTTGCAGGTGATGAATGACAACGACTCCTCTGCTCTGCCTTCTACCTTTCTGCAGCCCTCCCGCCTACTTCCCCCTTGCTTCACTCCTCCCGCTCTTCATTACAGCACTCCTCTGAGCAAACATGCTCAGAAAACAAAGACCATAAGCCACAGACGGAGGCAGTGTTTGGATAGAGATGACAGAAGACGGCTGCTAACATAAGACCGCTGAAGGGCTGATGCTTCGATATAGGGCCATTTACATTGACAAGTTCCTGCCGCCACGCAAGACAAAGCACCACAATTACTTTTGAATTAGAACGGCTCCACTCCTCTGCGTAATGTCGAGGGCTTCACCTGTTGAGCCTGTTTGAGAACTGTAGAAACAGCTGAAAAACATCACACATGTGCACCTTGTTCTGTCGCTGCATGTGGAAAAGTAGTGACTGTCGGCTATGGGGAAAGGCTCTCACTAAAATATCTCAGTTTTAGTGAAGTAAAGAGACAAACCTGGCTCCCTGGGGGTACGTGCCTGCTCTGGCTTTAAACTGTTGTCAGTGGCTTGAGTATTTTATATTTAGAATAATGCTTACATCTATCTATCTATCTATCTATCTGTCTGTCTTTCTGTCTACCTGTCTATCTGTCTCTATGTCTGTCCGTTTGTCTGTCCGTCCATCTATCTTTTAGATGGACATAACCAAAACTTTAAAAGTCTTTTACTCTTGGTGAATGTTGCACAACTTGACACACAGTTGTAATTCCGTGATAAATGCATCATAACATATCAGTTAAGAAGTTTTAATTTCCCTTTTTCTCACAAGCCGTTGCTGTTTGTGTCACTCCAGGTCATTTTTGAAGCAGAGGTCTCGGACAGCAAAGTGGGCTTCATCGCCGTGGATGACATCCAGGTGCTCAGCTACCCGTGTGGTGAGTCGTTAGCTATAGCCCGCTGAATAAACGCTAATTAGACTGTACCGGCGATGGTTTCCGGACCCGGCTGAGCGCACAGATAAGTGGGAAGGTGACACAGGAGAGACTAGCATGTATGTTATGGGCAGGAGTTGGAGAAATAAAGGGGAGATTGTAAATGAAGGAACGGTAGAAAGGATATAGAGGAGTGAAGCGAGAAATGAGCCAGGGCAATCATGAGTAGAGAAGATTCCGACCACTCAGCAGTTTGAGACACACACACATGCACGCATGCATGCACACACACACACACACACACACACACACACAAACACTAGCTGTCTTGTCTGAGAGATGAGGGCTGAAATCCATTTGAAATTCTCCCTACGTTTCAAGTCCCCTTCAGAGTTTCCCTCTTCGCTCAGACCCTGAATCCTCCTGCTACAATCAGCTCTCCACTTTTTAAACAAGAGTCGGTTAATGGACAAAACATAGACATATCCTCCAGCACCCTCCAGCAAAAAGAAGTGGCAATAATGATATACATGTGTAGCCGGTGATGGTGGAGCAGGAAGCCCCAGGGACAACTCTGCTTTCTATTAGACTCTATTGATTATCAGTCACAGTTTCCTCTTGTACCACTGCGGAGGTATTGGTTTGTCGCAACTGTTGAGACCAAGACATTGACAATATGTCTATAAGCAGAATTACAGTACAGTTTTTGTTGTGTTGTTTGCCACATCCTGTTAATGTGCAATCCACTTTATTTACAGAGCACAATTGCATAAACAGTTGCCAAAGGGCTGCACATAAACTTAGTACTACAACTAAAACAAGGGATCAAAAGAAACATGGTACGTAGAGTCAAAATATATCAAAACTATATTATATAAATAAGAAACAATAAATAAAAGCAATACATTTAGAAAACAAATGAAGAAACATTATTTGAAAAATATAGAAATAAATAAATACAACACAGAGGACCACAGGGTTTGGGTGAGTTCTATAGCTTTGGACCAGTCAAATAAGTCTGTAATTGAGTAAATCATGCACAAACACGATAAACATAATACAAAAAAGCAGTATTTATAGTTTAAATATACCGCTTATGTTAATTTTTCCACAACATGTCCGAACTGTTGAACTAACCTAACTCTCATAATAATTTATTCAGGGAAAATTATTATATAATTTTCCCTGAATAAATAAGGTATTGTATGTTCTATGTTCAGAATAAAATAAAGGTCTAAAAATTTTTTGTAGACCAAAGTCCATGCAGGAAAGACAGAGGGAGCATTCATCTTCACAGCTGCATTTGGAATGGGTGTGCGTGCATGTGTGTGTGTATGTGTGTGTGTGTGTGTGAGAGACTGCGCGTGCATGCACGTGTGTTTGTGAGTGAGTGTATGTGTCTGTGTGTGTTAAATACATTTGCCTGACCTGTTTGTGTATTTGTTTTTAGCTGATCCACATGTTGAGGTTGGTCACAGAAGCCAAAGCATTAGCCCCTACTCCCCATCTAACTCCCCCCTCTGCTCACGCGATGTGTGTTGTCTGGCACAGATAAGTCCCCTCACTTCCTGCGGCTCGGGGACGTGGAGGTGAACGCCGGGCAGAACGCCACCTTTCAGTGCATCGCCACGGGACGAGACACAACCAACAACAAGCTGTGGCTGCAGGTAAACACCCCCAGGGGTCGAGACCAGGGCCAGGGATGACCACAGGACCATGGCCAGGGCTAGGGTTGCCAACTTGAGAACAGAAAAATAAGGGACCATTTGGGTGGATCAGGTTGAGCACTTTTTAGTCCTAATTTCAATCTACACAGGAATCATGGAATTTAATAATCATAGTTTTTTGACTAAATCCTTAGTCAAAAATGAAATGAAATTAACGGGTGGAACTCTGGCTGGACTTAATGCATGCTTATTAGTCATAAAAAATATAAAGAAAGAGACAAATGCTGTAACATACATGATGTATGTTCCAGTAAAGACCATTTACTGTAAAAGCAATAATAAAAAAAGAAAAGCATATGTTCATTCATTCATTCACTTTCAACCCCTTTATTAGTCCATTTCTGGTTCGAACCCATGACCTTCAGGCCCAAAGGCCAATGCTCTACCAACTGAGCTACTTTTGCCCCCTCTTAGCCCGCTAGCTTAATAAATGCCAATAGGGAAGTGCTCATGGTGAAGTTTGGCTCCAACTCGTTCTGACTGATGGTCAGCCATCAGTAGGAGCCAGATACTTTCATTCGCTGGGAAAATGCTTTCCTCAGCAATTGTCTTAGCAACATTAAGCTATTGCCGTCGGAACAAATGCCCATAAAAGGAAAGTGGCTCTAGCTAGCATATTTTAAAATCTCCTTCTTCATTAAAATCATACACAATACAATACAATACGATGTATCCTTGTATAGCCCTAAATCACAAAAGCAGTCATCTCAGAGGACTTAACAAAACCATTGAAATCACCAAACACAGATCAGTGAATCGACAGTTAAGACACAAAAAATACACATACATATTTTTTCCATAGGGAGAGAACAATGTCCATGAATGTTAATAAATGTCCATACATGTAGGGCATTTATCAATGACTATCGTGATGTAACACTCGCTCATCCAGACTATGGCTCTCCCTGGGAGTCCGCCTTAGGCCATACATCCTCCCTGCTAACATAATGAAGCTCTTAATAGCTTGTGATTTCATTATAGCTCTATTGTAGTCCTGACCTTCAGACCTGCTGTCATCAACTCAAGTGTGTGTGCTGGTTATAGAGTATGTGGTTCAATTCTGCCTTGTGACCTTGAGCAGGGCACTTAACCCTCCCCTGGGGCCCCCTGATGCAGCTGATACGTGACTGTCTTTATCTGTCTATTTTTAACTGTTATAGAGGAGGAATGGAGAGGATATCCCGGTGGCTCAGACCAAGAACATAAACCATCGCCGTTTTGCGGCTTCCTTCCACCTGAACGAGGTGACAAGCCAGGACCAGGACCTGTACCGCTGTGTGACCCAGTCTGACCGTGGGTCAGGGGTCTCCAACTTTGCTGGACTCATTGTCAGAGGTTAGAGTCAAAATATGTGTATTCTGTGTGTTCTAAAAATGAACTACCATAAGTAAAATCCTTGAAGAAGCTGCTGTCTGTTTCAGGGCCCCCTCACCACACACTTTAAACACTTTTCTCACCACCTGAACCCTAACTGCCGAAGTGCGATCGCAGAGATTGTTGGAGGTCTGAGCGCTTCTGCAGCTGTCAAAAGCCATGCATACAGGACACTGGGCTGAGGGGCAGGAGCAGGATCAGAGAGAGACCAGAGAGAGAGATATAAGTCTATAGCCCACATAGAGACCAGAGAGACAAGAGAGAGAGACTAGAGGAGAGACCAGAGAGAGACAGGAGAGAGAAACCAGAGGGAGACTGGAAAGAGACCCCAGAGAGAGACCAGGGAGAGAGCCCAGAGAGAGAGAGACCACAGAGAGAGACCATATCTTTACCATCCGTTCATATCTTTTACGATGAGCACTTTGCATCAATTCTATAGATTCTGCATCAGAATTATCCATACATTTCAGGCATTCTGTAGCCAACAACACACACATAAACACTACTTATTTTATGAATTCACACCCTGAGGGTAATTGACAACAACTTGGCACCAATCTCCCAAATCCTGAACCATGACCCTGCTTACGCCAACTTACATGTCAAAACGTCTCTTTACAATCAGCCCGCCCACGCGCTATTGCTAACACAATAGCCTAATGAGAGCGGGCCTGTGTGTGCTAGCAGCTGCCATGTGGCTATGACATGCACTTAATAAGGTGTCACCAAAGTGTGTGTGTGTGTGTGTTCAGAGGCTTGATTCATTCACACCCAATGGTTTGCATTTAAAATTTATCTCGAGAGACACAAGAAATGGGGCAAAGGCAAAAACATAACAGTGAGTGATACAGGGGAGCGACAGTCACAACGGGAGAGGGGAGTAATATGTAGATATCTCGTTATTAAAAACTATATTCGATATTCAAGAGAGAGACCAGAGAGGACAGAGAGACACCACAGAGAGAGTGAGAGACCAGAAAGAAACCTGAGACAGACAAGGGAGATACCTGAAAGGGACACCATAGAGAAACGCCAGAAAGGGAGACAACAGATAGAGACCAGACAGAATCCAGAGAGAGACCAGAGAGGGACAAGAGAGAACAGAGAGAGAGAGACAAGAAAGAGACCAGAGAGAGATCAGATAGGTCCACCAGAGAGAGACACCAGAGAGGGACACCAAAGACAGAGAGACCAGAGAAACGTAACACAAGAGACACAAGAAATGCGGCAGAGGCGATAACATAACAGTGAGTAAAATAGAGGGGGCGACAGTCACAACGGGGGAGGAGAGATGTTATATGCAGATATCTCATTATAAAAACTACATCCATTTCAAGTTTGCATATGTAAACAGGCCAGGAGTCTGTATCTCTGTTCATAAGATATGTATACAGCAATGATAAATCAAAGCCTGGGATCATTAATATGCATGTCAAGCGAAAGAGATGTCCAACTCTCACTGCAGGAAAATTACGGCTTGTAGATAAATTGCTGAATATGATTTTGGATGTTTAAAAAAAAAAAAATTGCTGATTAAGTAAAACACTGTACGTTCTAATGTTTATTTATCATGATTTTATGAGAGACCAGAGAGTGATCAGAGAGAGAGAGACCTAAGAGAGAGAGTCCAGTGAAAGAGGAGTGAGAAACCAGAGAGAGAGAGACCATAAAGGGATCAAAGGGCACGGTCACATAGGTACATAGATCGTCGCCACAGGGGTGTGAAGAACGCCCGCGGTCACAAGAATGTGTTTTCGCAAACGTGCTAGAGCAATTGTGCTGTAGTACAATACTCGGCCCAGCTGGTGGTGCTAATACTAACTTCAGCGACGACCTCGTTGTGTGAGTTAAGTTTCCGTTTTCTCTTCCTGTTTGCACTCTGCTACTGTAGCTAACAGCTCGAGTACGGGTCGCGTTGTTCAGGTAAAGACACATCTCACACTTGTCCACATTGCTCTGATGGAAAGTCCAGCAGTGTGTGTGTGTGTGCGCCGCGGACATGGGAGTGCGCCTCTTTAGTAACGAGCATTAGTGCTGAGAAATGAATGAACGAGAATGAAAGAATTGAATAAAGACCGCACTGTGAGAGCGAGGGGCAGGACCGAGGAAGTTATTCCCATAGGAAACGCTTCCCTTTCGACCACGGTCTGGGGGCTTACAGAAAGGTTTAACACAAGGGGAGAATAAGAATGTGCAGAGACGTGTGTGAAAATGGGCGTCACAACGGAAGACGTAATGTGACGCACAACATCAAGTCCCCTCCACATCTCATCCGCCACTCCCCACCACCCACCACACTGACCCCCCTCATCTGGGTTTTAGAAGCGTGCTTTGGCCCACCTCTCTCAACCGTGCTCAGGCCCACTTGCAGCAACCGTACCCAAGCCCAGTTGCCGCGGTCAGATAGCACCTAAAGCCCAGATCTAATCGCGAAGTGGGCCCAGATGCACTGGGAGAGAGGTACCAGACAGAGACCACAAAGAGACTCAACATGAAGGGCTAATCAGGCAATACAAAATTTATGTATATTTATAGATTTGATTATTGCCTTATTAACGCTACTTAGTATCATGTCTGAAAACCACATCGCTATGCAGCAAATTACGCGTGGGAAATATTTTTGGTGGACAAGCGCCTGGCCTCGTGTGCTTATGCCTGCTACAGGCTTCTACCACAGGCACATATCCGCTCCGGAAAGAGGAGGGCCACGCATTTCCCCTTCAAAAGAGCGTACCTCTGATAAGGTACACTCAAGGTCACACTCACCGCTGATTACGTCCATCAGTAATCCCAATTGTCTCCAGCATAAAAGTTGAAGCTATAGTTATTTCCACTGTGCATGAGTCGCATATGAGTGTGTTCACAGTAAAGTGACAATTGAAGTATCTGGACTTTAAAAGGTTATAACTTAAAAACTAAAATTACTTTCATAGATTGGAAAAAAGATTTCAAACACAAACACATTGAAGAGATAGTGTGGATAAAATCTAAAGGAAAGATTGACATAAAAATGTTTAGCAACATTTTAAACGACCAAATGAGCCTCTGATTGGACCATTCTACTGTGACGCCAGTTACATAGAAAATAAAATGTCCTCAGTCTGAAAAAGCAGAAGATGAAATCCCACAAGATTTACATGGTTAACACAACAGAAGTATGATTGCTTGATTATAAAAAGGAATCGTGAAAAATAAAAAATAATTCATTAATTAAATGACCCCTGAAAAATTTAGAACGGACGTGATGAGGACGGTCCTCTTTTCTCTAAAAATTAAACTTGAGAAGAAAAAAAATCTGGTCTGTTTTCACATTTAATTGGTTGACAATATGAAAGTATCACTTTGCATCTACTTTGTGTAAAAAAGTAGAATCTCTGAATCAAATGTGGATATCTGAAAATACCATCAAACTTCCACAAAGCTCATTCCGTCAAATCATCACGTCCGTTAGATAAAATAAACAGGGTCGCTATAGGAAACTTGTCTAATGTATAAAACAGTTATGTTCTAGCAACTTCTAATGAACAGAGGAGGTGTTTGGAAACATGAAAAACATAAAATATCTTTTGATTATTAAAATCTAATTTTTGGTCTTTTGTCACACTTTTGTGCCCTTTAGTGTGAACAAGCCCATATACACTGTAAAAACAGCATGCTTTTTTCTTTGTCCAATCCCTTTTCAAAACCAAATCAAGGGACATTAAGACCAGTGAAAACGATGTGATTAATTGCGGTTACAAAATTTTATAGTTAAAAAAAATAATACAGTATCCTTGGGCCATCAGTGAGGGACTGGTGCTTAGAGCATTGGGTGGCAGCTCTCATTGCCACTCCTCTGACCCAGAAAAAAACAAAAACAAAATATATATAATTATTTATTTATTCAACGCTTTCAAAAGGAAGTGTTTCCTACGGGAATAACTCCCTCTGTCCTGAACCTTGCTCTCAAAGTTTGGACACACTTTCTCATTCAATGAGTTTCCTTTCTTTTCATGACTATTGACTGTAGATTTACACCCAGGCTGTGTAAGGGCTATTTGACCAATACGGAGAGTGGTGGGGTTCTGGGACAGGTGACCTGGCCTCCACAGTCACGGGACCTGAACCCTTTAAGAAGAGTGAAAACTCATGTGTGATTAATTGTGGTTACATAATTTAATTGTTTAAGCAATAATATATACAGTATATACTGTATATGGGGGCGACAGTGGCTCAGTGGGTAGAGCATTGGCCTTTTGGCTTGATTGTTTTGTACACATTATGTACACAACATAGTGTACATAATGTTCTGTATTTGTTTATCATAACAACAATAAATCCACATAAAATGGCATTAACATTATTAACATTCTGTCTTTCTGTAGTAGACAGAAAGACAGAATACGGTCTACAGTCAATTGAAACCCAATTGGCAAAGAACTGTACCTGATTTATTTTCAAATTAATTCATAAAGATGTGTATTACTACATACAAGTAGTATTAAAACCCGTAATTTAATTTAAAAAAAATAGCTCATTGATTCAGCTTGTGTATGAATTCAGGCCATACAAAAAGTGCTGAGTAGAAACTTTGCGTAATGCTAGTTCTCCTCCAACGAGGAGCGGTGCTGTTAAAAATATGTACAATAGTTCTGGCATGCGCCTACTGTACTGGCGACCCCGCTCCCATCTCTGCGTGGAGCGAGAGGACAAATGCCCAAAAATAACAATTGTAAACCGCTTTGTGACTCTGGTTTGTGAAAGGCGGTATATAAATAAACATTACTTACTTACTTACTGTTGCAAACAGTCCACGCCTCCTCTAGCTTCCGCAGCATGTAAACAGAGCAGCATGACAGCAGAAAGTGGCTATACCTCCTCTGGCTGTAACTGCATACACAGCAACACAACCCAAAAGACGCAAAAGTGAGGAGAAGAAGAGGGAAATAAAGCGAAAAAATGATCAAAGCAGAAATCAAGCC